GGGGGGGGGATAGGATTGTGCATTCGGGTGTTAGGTTTTAGGGGTCGGTGTTTATTTTCGGGGCGCAGATTTTGGGCTTAGGATTCAGGCTTCAGGTTCCAGGGATTTAGGTTCTAGTGGGTTAGGTTCTAATGGTTCAGTGTCTATGGGTTTATGGTCTAGGGCTTTAGGGTCTAGGGTTTTAGGGTCTAGGGTTTTAGGGTTCAGGGGTTAGTGTCTAGTGGCTTAGGAGTGATGCTATAGGGTTCAAGTTTCAGTCCTTAGCGTTTAGGCCTTAGGTTTTAGTCTTTTCGCTTTAGGGTCGACAATCACGGTTTATGTGTTTGGTTTATGTCTAGTTTTAGCGTGTCCGGACTCAGGGTTTACCCTTTAGGCTTTAGGTCTCAGGTTTTACCGTTCTGGTTTTAGGCTTTATGGCTTAGGGCTCAGGGTTTCAGGGTTTAGTGTTTACAATCACGGTCTATGCTTTGGGTTTATTTCTACGTTTTACGTTTTAGGTTTCTCGGTTTAGCGTTGAGGGTTTATTTTTTGCTTTTACGGTTCAGTCTTTAGGGTTCTGTTCTCCAGGTTGGGAATCGCTCTAGAGTTTTTCTCTATGGTGTTAGCTCTTCCCTGCACTAGTCCGGGCGATTTAGTTCTCTGGTTTTGGGTTTTCGCGATTGCTTCTTCGTTCCTCGGAGAGGCGCGATTTGTGGCCCCCTTCCGCTTTCGGGGATTAAGATCTGCTTTCACAGCCTTAAGGTCCAGTGGGGCTGGGGCTTCGCTTACGTCTATCATTCAGGGGCTATGGTTCACGCCTTAAGTTTTTCGTTGGGTGCGTCAAGCCATCAGAGTGTCGTGGGTTCTTGTTTGTTCTCTTTGAGCAGAAAACTTACTACTGATCAGGGTGCATGCCCCAGATTCTCCCTCCAGGGATCATTTTCCATGGGTTATGATTTGGCTTCTATGTGGTAGGTCTCAGGATTGCTATTTTTCGACCTCCTGTTTTAGCTTTCAGATTTCACAGTGGACGCGCCTGCTTTGGGAATTTCGCGAATGAGGCTTTAGTGTTTATATCTTACTATCTCCCGATTTTTTTTTCTCGGCTTCCGGTTTAGGTTTCATGCTTCATGTTTCATGGGGGTTGGTTTTACTTCTCTGTTTTGTGGGATTAAAGCTTCATTTCCTGTTTCTATTTTTATAGGTTAAAGCTTCTTTTTACGCGTCAGTGTAGTTTTATCACGGGATAGGGTCCAGAATTTTAGCTTCTACGTTTCAACGTTTAGGGTTAAGGGTATCCGTTTTCGATATAGAGTGTATTGTGTGGGATGTCGCTCCGGATCCTGTCCTTATTTGTCATGCTCAGGCGGGGTGTTCCAGACTTGGATTTCTTTTCTTTCTTGTGTTATATTAAGCACTCTTATCTCTATTCTTAGGACTACTTTGTCTTTAGTTGTTGGGGTCTGTGGGGGTATGGTTATGTTTCTTCCTCAAGGTTTAATCTTCAGACTGCTGTACATTGGATGTGCTTTCAGCCAGGTTGCTTCCATTGTTCATTTCGTTCTGCTCATTCTAAGAATCTTCGACTGTTTTGTGCCGATTTATCCAGGGTCTCATTTTGAGCGGTTTGTAGCAAGTGAGTAGGAGTTTTCCTCAGAACTTTTGAGTCATTTGTTATCCTGAGTATCTGCCGTGTTGGATTTGGGGTTTATGCTCTACTTTGTCCGGGTTACTTCCCAGCGATAGCAGCCGTTCATGCTGGTTTTCCTCTTCCTGTTACGGTTTCGTTCCTATCTTTCAAGCTGTAGGCTCAGGGGGGAGTGTTCATGTTCCTTGGGATGAAGTCGTATGTTGGCACTGTTAAGTTCCTTGTGCTTAAGGATTATGCTTCACGCTTCAGGGGGCACGGTTTTTGTCCAATATTTAGCTGTTATCTTCCGAAGTTCAGGGTGTAGGTGTGACTTTGTGTTTTTTAGGTTCTATGGGGATAGCGCCTACTGTTCAGGTTTCCGTACTCTTACCTAAGTGTACCACCTACTTTTACTGTGTTTAGCTTATATCAGAGAGGTACTTTTATCCTATTCTCTCGGATTTTGCCTCCACTACTTGCCCCTTATTCTTAGCCCGCGGGGTCCATCTTTGGGAATTTACTCTCTGGATTTTATCATGCATTTTTCTATAACTTGGCTTCTACGGATGATATGCTTCCTGTTTATTGCTTGTTTCTATCTTGAGGAGTTATGAGTTCGTTCCTTGTCCTGTTGGGTTCGGTAATTCCCTGGCCGTAGGGTTTGGGCTTAGATTTCATATTTTATGACTTAGCGCTAGGGATTTAGCCTTTTTGATTCAGACTCGTTTCCCAAGCATGGATGTTCAGGGTTCAGGCTTGGGGGGTCTTGATTTTAAGGGGGCACCTTTACTTTGGAATGTGCGGGACTCAAGGCTATTTAGGGCCGTTATCTGTAGTCTTGTCCGCCTATGCCTATCGCTTCTGAGTTAATTCTTGGCTGCTAGTGACTATTTCTAGCTTTATTCCCCAGACTCTCTTTTTTGCTTTTACTGCTCCTGGACTATTCTGTACTTTGTACTTGCTGCTCCTGAGGGTCCTCTTTTCCTCTTCCACTTGTTCTGCTAAAGCTCTAATTTTTTTTGTGTGGGGGTTCATGTCTTTGGGTTTAACGGCTATAGCTTGGAGGATTTCTGTTTCCACGAAGGCCCAATGTTTTAGGGGCTGTCCGTCAGCTTTGGCGCCTAAGGTGCACATTTAGCCTTCATGTTTAGCGTGCTATTCTATCTCTTTAAGCTCATATTGGACCGTTCAGGACCTGACCATGCAGGCTTGGGGGTCTATAGTTCCTGCTTATTAGCGTCGCAATTACTCTTTACGTCTTAGGTTTCATTCGGTAGGCCTTATCTCTTAACCCAGAATGATTAAGTCTTCGATGTTGGATCCAGGGCTGCCTCTTTCTGCCTTCCTCTTGCTATTTTAATTCCTATGCTTCGATTTCTATGGGGCTTTAGGTATGGCTTAGGGCTCAGTGAAGATGAAGTAAGTCTGATGCTTCATGCACTGTGCAGCACATGCAATTTTTAGGTGTAGAAACTGGAAGTGTATATTGCAGAAGTATCTTGTGAGTTCATGCCCTCTCCGTTCATTATATGGTTTCTATGGCGTACTGCTTAAGTTGCGCTCTTGGCTTTCCGCTTGAGCCTCCAGGGTTCTGCTATTATTCCTTAGGCCTCTTTTCCATTTGTCACTCCGTTGTTGTGCTTAGGTTTCTGTAACTCTGAGGGCTCTTATTTTATGGAGTCTCGTTAAACAGTACATTTTTTCCTATATTTTTTACCTGTACTTCTTGGTCTTTAGGCTTCAATTGTACGCAGTTAGGTTGCAGGGTGTAAGCACCTCTCTCATCCGGGTTTTATCCAGGGCATTGCGTAGTGGGCTTATGGCGGTTTGCTCCTGTGTGATGTTTTATTGTTCAGTCTGTATTCCTTAATGTTTAGAATTAATTCTTTATCCCCCTGGTTGCACTCTCGACTGTAGTGGTCAGGCATTATTTTCTAGGTTTATGCATCCAGGTCCTCGTGTATTGCCGGGGGGTTGTTTTTACTTCTTAGTGTCTATTAGTATTGTCCGATAAGTTAGTTTAGGCGGGTAAGATTCATTGATTAGGCGCCTTTTGTACTTTGATCATCCTTAGGTTTTTAGGATTTAGAGTCTATTGTTTGGGTTGTATATTTTGGGCCCTAGGATGTATATTTCATGGATGAGCCTCCACGGTCTATCAGTGAGGCCTAGAGCTTAGCGTGTACTGCCATCCTCTAGTCTCTATTCCTACGGTTAATTCTTTACATATGCCTCCTTATTTCTGCTGCTTGTTTTTATTCCTTATCTCCTTAGGCTTAGGATCCTCTGCCATATCTGGACGGTGTACGGCTCAGATTTCATGGTTGGGAATTCAGTTTTACTTTGTAGGACTGATCGGATACCCTTAGTGTCTATCTGTGTCTGATGAAGTGTAGGGTGGTTGTTGCATGCCCTAGATTTACGGTCTATACTATCTGTGTACTGTTCACTGCTCATGTGTTTGCGTTACGGTTGATCTTGCAATGTGTTTTGGTGTATTTGGTCCTATTATTCTTCAGGGTATCTCCACGAAGGTTTTTGTGTTAGGCATCATGTTCAGTTTTTACAGTTATTACTTTGGGGCGCCATCTTGTATTGCTTCTTCTTTACTTCTTATGGTTTTGATGTATGTTCTATTACTTGGTTTTCAACTTTGAGTGTTTGTGTTGTATGATTTATTGTGCAAGCCTTATGTTTAAAGGCGTATCCTTCCTCCTTCCGGTTCCTTCATCAGCCTCTAGAGTCTATTCCTTACGGTTAACCATTTAATGCTATCGGCTCCGGATTTACAGTTTGGACTTTAAGCAGCCCCTCAAAAATATCATTTCCCACTCTGCGTTTCCAGGGGGTGTTTGTTCCCCCTCGATTTACTTTATCATCCCCTTGTACTTGTGGTAATCGTCCACTTCCTCGCTTTTTTTAAGGCCCCTTCTTTTACTTCCTCTCTATGTCGTCCTCTTACGTGTCCGGGAGGATATAATAAGAGATATATTCGTAGACTCCTTACTATTCTGCCCATATTCAATATATCATAAGTGTCTTTACATGAAGATAAGGAACAACCAGTTTTTAAACTCTGTCCGTTTCCTGTATTAAGAAGTATACAAAGTGGCAACAGTCTTACTGACCTAGTGCTATTTTCCAGGCTCTGCTATTCTCATCCTTCTTCCATAGGATATATTGGTAAAATCGGGGAGTTATACAGACAGCGATGACGCGCGGAATTATAGAACACATATTCATCTATATTAATGTTAATCCATACTGTTGTAGGTTTTCCTGTCCATGAGTCCTGTCCCATATTCAGATGTGTATCCTCCTCTTGTTCTATGTCACTAGTGAATTTCTCTTAATAATATGGATACTATGGGAGGGGTACACAACACGTTTGTTGCTTCACGATTCTTTGAATGTTTTTATTGAAATGTGAAAACACAAGTTGAATGATCTGTATTTATCACTCGATTTCTTGCTTTTACAGGGAATTTGTACATAGGACTCTAGAGTACAGGCGATTATAGCAGCGTACTGCACAAGTGTTGGATCCACTATTAGAGGAGATATGTTGTCGATTATGAATTCCACTGGGGTGTTGGACGGCTTTTTTGCTCATAGAAAATATATGTATATGTGACGTCCATTAAATTATTCTTTGTATTCATCTGAGGATAATAAAAGTCGCAGTGACAGATATCATACTTATTACTGCTACTCAGGCACAACTGTCATATATTCATACTATGACAGTTCGTATTCTATGTTTTATCAGCAAAACAGAGTTTATCACTCTGATATCACCACCTTGAAATACAGACGAAAGGAACCGGATAGATAGTATAGATCTTGTTATTGCTTTCCTACAGACAGATCTATGAGACGGTGTCAGAATGAGAAAAGCTTAATATTGCGGTGTTAATTTATCTCTTTCCTTATGTACACAGTTCTAAATAGCGCTCATTAGTTCGCAGCCTGCCCATAGTCCATACGAAACTGAGAGATTTTTTTATTTATACTTACAATATATGCCGATGATAATGTCATCGCGGACAATCCATCGTTTATATCGAAATTGTTGGATTACCGTTCTGTATTAATGTTGTGTGCAGTCTAAATCAACATCCTTCTTCTATAAAATTATATCTATGACTATGATATATCATACGGTATACCCGCATTGTGGAGACATTATTCGGCTGATTTGTTAGGTGTCAAATCGCAAAGCTATCAGTAATTTATTGCTACTACTTGGAAGAAGAAAGCAGATAATTAGTCGCGAGATGGATGTTAGCATGTCTATTATTAAATTGCAAGAAAATGTTTTCCCAATCTGTGATAATAATATCTTAAATGTTCTTTATTGGTTCTCAATTTGCGATCTTCATTTTGTATATATATTTGTATGCGCAGATAGGAATGCTTCTATGAAAATTAGAATAAAATTTAGACGAAAAATGCACACACCCATAAGTGAAGAAATGTGCGCTTCTCCTGTTCAGACAAGAATATGAGAGACAATCAGTCCGTTGAAACAATCTTCTGGTGTATTCTCTGTTTACAATAATCGACTCACTACAATGATAGTATATAAGTAGGCATAGCCCCACTCGGTATAATCCCTACAGTACTTATTAATTATGTCCTTTATAAACTATTACGCGTGACATTACATAAAGGCAACTGTCCGTTATGTATGAAAAACAGGGACAT